TAAAATGTAGGGAAATTAAGTACAAGTCTCTTCTAAATATTCTTCTTAGATTTTCCTAATTTTTAGAGCATTAATCTTCGGATTGTTCAATTTAGGGACTAATACCAAACACTGCTCTTGTTTTCCTCTTACACTCATGTGTTTTCAGACATTCTTTCTCAAGATCAGATGCGAATTTCATCACTACCTTGATGTGTAAGCCTTGACATCCTTCACTGTCTTAAGCTCCCCGATGTTGGGTAACACCTCGGGCGAAAATGCGGGCGAAACGGACTCGGGAAGGGTACTCGAAACAGCGATGAAGACTAAGGAGAAAAAAACAGAGATGTTGTAGCCATTTTTTTCATTGGAGAAATCCATGAAATAATGAGTTGATTGAATGAATGGATGGATGAACAAATTTGCTCGGATTTCTTGTTGGGTTTATGTAAATATCTCAAGTCTCTATCTTTAGAATGAAGAAACAAGTTTATGTACATATCTCAAGTCTCTATCTTTAGAATCAAGAAACAAGTGAATGACTTTCAGACATTGATGGATTGAACTCAAATATTCAATAGCAAAGAGAAATTGTATGATACCAAGAAAATATAAATTTCCCACTATGGGGTGTCGAGTGATCCATCTGAGATTGCAAAAACATGAAGGTGTCTGATTCTACTTGGTGGGGAGAGATGTAATATTTCTAGTCCAAAATGGTATATATACAAATGTTGATCCCGAGTTTATGGTGGATATAGTCTGACCGAAAGTTTGGGAAACATTCTGATTATTAAAAAAAATTGTATGATACCAGAAAAGTATACGAATTTTAAAGGAAAACAAAATATGATAAAAAGTTGGATACTAACGTTACAAAGCAAACCTTTGGTATGGAGGAGAGTTTTCAATTAAGTTTATGAAACTCTCAAGGAATCAAGTGATGATTAAGACGGGTCAACTTCTAAAATGCCCTCAATGTGCTATAAGCACTTCTCCTCCTACCCTTCTCTTAAAAAAAAAATATTTCAACATCCAATATACCCTCTTTTCTGTTAGATTACCAAAATAACCTTTTAATATTATATTATTTTAAAATTTTAATTAAAAAATTCTCTCTCGAAAACATCGTTTCTCTTTCATCTTTTTTTTTTTGCTTTTTTGTTTTTTTTTTGTTTCTCTCTCCTCCCACCATTAATGTCCACCAAGCTTTCTCTCTCTTGTCTTTTTCCTCTCTTCTTCTTTTTTTTCTATTTTGTCTTAAAAATCCGACGAAATTAGATGAAATCAAGGGTAAATCAATGAGACAATTAGAAATAGATAAGCTACTGTCGAAATCCAATTTTTTTTTATTGCACATTGATGATTCTTATGGTTCTTTTTTCAGTTATTGTTATTTGCGTAGTTCTGTTGTTTGCAGTATGTTTTAGTCACAACCTATAATTCATTCCGATGGAAGTGTTGTTTGATGTAATGAGAAACGAGATTGATAGATTATGAGGAGAGAACGATTAATTTGGAGTGATGAAAGAAGCACCACAAATTTGTATAATAATTGTATGGTGTATTTGTAGTATAATGTGTTACAAAATATTTGTACAATAATGTCAAAGAACTTTGATTAATGATGTTGTAATGTGTTTGTACAATATAGTGTTAAAACTTTTATATAATGTTGTGTCTGTATCATAATAATGTTGTATTATTAAAGATGGATTTTCGCATATATTTGACTCGTGTTACACGCTAAATAAATGAACTCGCATGAGCCAACCTTGTGACCTATTGTGACCAGCATGTGACCATGTGACCGAAATGCAATTTTGCACTGTGTGACCATTGTGACCGATTGTGACCCGTGACCGAAATGTGTTGACAAATATATGTCAAATTTAAATTTTTAAGCTTCGTGGTGGTTTATCAGAGTCTATATATCAAATATATAGGATGTGTGAAAAAATTTAAAAATATTTGAAGACGTTTGTAGATGAAATATACCAAAATTATCAAAACTACTCATAAAACATTATGAAACATATAGAAACACATTTGGAAGAACAACTTTGAAACACAAAAACCATAAAAACCATGTTTTAATATTCAAAACAATATAAAATAGACTTATAAGAGATGTGTAACGTTGTATAGTGATTAAATTAACAAAAATCGTATGGATCGAAGGTTGTGACCGATTGTGACCGACTGTGACCCATTGTGACCGAAATGTATTGTGGGGTCCACATGAAGAACTAGTCAGAATTTCATCTAATTTTTATGTTTTGTGGGTCCCACAATCATTATTTTTATTTTTTAATTTAAATGTAGGCCCCAGTTTGAATATTCAATCCTCTATAATTTTTCTCTTAACACTATATTTTTTTTCTAATTTTTAACCCCAAAGTTTTATCTATAACATTTTCAAACCAGATTTTTTTGTAAAATATTAAAAAGTTCAGATTTTTTATAAACAAAATTCAACATATTTTGGTGTACTCCACTTTCACATATAATCATCTAAAAATGCAGAATTTGTTGTGAGCCCCATTTTTTCTCCACTGTAAATTTAACCCTATATATTTTTTCTCCAATATTTTAAGTCCAAAATTTTCCTTACAACAATTTCAGCCCAGATTTTTTAAAAAATATAAATAAGTTTAGATTTTTAATAAACAAAAACCAAAAATAAAAGTTCATAGTTGATTGCAAGAACACTATATTCACAAGCGTTATCATTTTTGCGGTAGTCTCTCCACATACTGAATGTTAAGTACATCGTCATATGAGAAAGCTTCTGATCCAGCCAAGAGATACGCCTTTGGAAGACATTATATCAAAAATACCCTTAATTTGCTATTTCTACTTCAAGACCTACCCTGGTCACATGTGACCAATGTGACCGAAATATAGTCACATGGTCACATGGTCACATGGTCACATGATCACATGGTCACATAGTCACATGATCACATGGTCACACGGTCACATGGTCACCCAGTCACTTAGTCACACGGTCACATGATCACATGGTCACAGTGTCACACGGTGATATCTAGATATTGCTGACATATGTTATGTCATCTCGTTCCAAAGGGGGGCATTATCAAAAATACCCTTAATTTGCTATTTCTACTTCAAGACCTACCCTTGTAACCATGTGACCAATGTGACCGAAATATAGTGTGGTCACATATTGATCCCATTGTTCATAACGTTAAATTTATGATGTTTTAATCAGTGACCATGTGACCATGTGACCATGTGACCATGTGACCATGTGACCATGTGACCATGTGACCATGTGACCATGTGACCATGTGACCATGTGACCATGTGACCATGTGACTATGTGACCATGTGTCATTGTGATCATGTGACCATGTGACCGTGTGATCATGTGGCTTTATAAACTTACAATATCTTTGATTCATATTCCGTGTGACAGAATCTCTTTCTAGAAACTTGGACTTCGTAATGTATCCAGTCCTGACTTCTAACCACTTTATGATTGTGACCGTGTGACCTTGTCTTTCGAATCCTCATGTTATCCATACATCCAAACATCGATCCATTTGGTATTTTGACCTATATGATTGTCCTAAATGATACTGTCACTGAAACTCACCAATTTAATCATAAACTCTCAAACCCAACATTTTATTTCAAAATCCATAAAAATTCAAAAATATCCAAAATCTTAATACTTTATCGGATAAATCTCGAAGCCACCTTCAATTTAATGGCAAGAAATCTCAAAATCAAACAAATCTGAAAGGAAATCGAAGTTTAATTACCATACGGTTTTCATTCTCATTCGAAGATTATGAGGAAGATGAATTTGAATCATATCATTTGCTCTCATCGTTACTTCTTCTTTCCATCTCTGATGTAGCCTAAGATTTTAATGGGTAAACAAAAATTAGGAGAGAAATCAAGATTCAAGGGACAAATCGAAGAGAATGAGGAGATTTCGGCGATTTTGAGAGAGAACAAAAAAAATTAAAAAGAAAGATTAAAGTAAGAGAGAGAATAGATGAAGATGCAGAATGAAAAAGGCGAAAGAAAATAAAAGAGAGAGAAAATATTAATAAAATATTATATAAAATGAGGGACACTTGAGTCTTTACAATTTTATTTAGGGTTATATTTGTCCTTTGTAGTGTATAAGATTTATTTTTTTCAATTTATTGTTTGAAGGGTATAGTCAGAAGTCGAAGTAGCAGTTAGAGGGTATTCTAGCTATTTCCCCGATTAAGACACGCTTGTCAGTGAATTGGTTAAGACATGTTTCTCGACTCAATTGTAATTACAATATTCCTTGATTTTAATTGTAATATCCCTACACAATTTACCAGAGTAGCTTCATGTCTACGTGAGGTTAATAATGCATGGATTCTGTCAATGTCATTTATGTAATTTTATATTAACTACGGTTAAGACTAAAATTATAAACATACAAAAAAAATAGTGATTGAACAAGTCATGAATATATATATATACACACACGCACATCCGAAGCGTAATCTCTCCCATTGAAAAGGAATCGTGAAACACAAGGCTCTGCGTTCTTCTCTTAACCTTCTAATCAACCACTAATCTCTCTTAATCACTCTAAATTTAGACACTTAAATCATGTATATAAACAGGATTAATAACCCAAACCAAAAACTCACTCATCATTCACCGTTTTCCCTTAAAAACACAAAAAAAAACCCAAAAAAACTAAGAAAAAAAATAAAAATGGCGAGAATCACCTTGTCATTCTGCTTTGCCTTCATTGTTGCATCGGGAGCGATCTTTGAAGCAACGGGGACCTTTTTCTTCTTGCCGCATTACCTGAAAAAACTGCCGAGATACTCACGAGACGTCGAGCCATTCGCTTTCAGCGGGATGGCGAAGTACATGCAGAGCCTTCAGAAGGGGTGTCCTTCAACCTCGGAGTTCAACACTTTCTTCTCCAAGCTCCAAGATTACATGAGCACCTTGAACTCGGCTTCTTCCATGTCTGGTTCGGCGAACTCCAAGGCCTTCGAGTCTCAGATGAAAGGGAAGGCTGAAGGGCTTTACTCTGCAATGTCTCAATTGTCTAGTGGCAAGTCCGGTTCGGTAAGAGAAGTAGTTTCGGTTTGGTTTTCTGTTCTGATATTTGATTTTTACTTTGAGAAGTGATGGGTGTATTTTTTTGGGAGAATAGGCAGAAGCGGCGAAGATGATTGAGATGGCGCAAAACTTGGGGAAGACATTGATGGAGCAGAGGAGGAGTGGTTCTACGACGTTGTCGGTTGAGCAACAGCAAGCGATTCAGAGCTCAATTACAAAATGGGCTCAAGGAATTGGTCAGTTCGTGAACGCTGCTGCTCAGAAGAACGGTGGAGGTTCCATTGATTTCTCTGCTGCTTTCGGCGGTGGCGGCTCAACCGGCGGTTCATCAGCCTCTGGTGCTGGAAGTGAAAGTTCCGACAGCTCCGCCGCTGCCGCTGGAAGTGGAAGTTCCGCAGGTGGTGCTACTGCTTCTGGTGGAAGCTCTGACGAGAACTCCTCTGGCGATGCAAGTGGAAGCGAAGATAGCTCCTCCGCCATTGGAGGTGGTAGTGTCGCAGCAGGTGCTTCCGGTGGAAGCTCTGAGGAAAGCACCTCTGGTGGTGCAAGTGGTAGTGCCGACAGCTCCTCCGCCGCTGAAAGCGAAAGTTCCGCAGGTGGTGCTTCCGGTGGAAGCTCCGACGACAGTTCCTCCGCCTCTGGTGCTGCAGGTGGAAGCTCCGAAGATAGCTCCGCCGCTGCTGAAAGCGGAAGTTCCGCAGGTGGTGCTTCCAGTGGAAGGTCCGGCGATAGCTCCGCCGCCTCTGGTGCTGCGGGTGGAAGCTCCGAAGACACCTCCGCCGCCGCTGGAAGCGGCAGTTCCGCCGGTCCGCCTCTGGTGCTGCGGGTGGAAGCTCCGAAGAAGACAGTTCCGCGGCTGCTGGAAGCGGAAGTTCCACTGGAGGTGCTTCCGGTGGAAGCTCCTCCGTCTCAGGTGCTGCAGGTGGAAGCTCCGAAGACACCTCAGCCGCCGCTGGAAGCGGAAGTTCCGCCGGAGGTGCTTCCGGTGGAAACTCAGACAGTGGCTCTTCCGGCGCTGGAAGTGGAAGTTCCGACAGTTCCTCCGCCTCTGGAAGTGAAAGCTCTGCAGGAGGTGCTGCATCCGGAGAGAGTTCGGCAGGAGGTTCTTCCGACAGCAGCTCCTCCGCCATGGGAGGTGGAGGCTCCTCAGCAGTTTCGCCCACAGGCTCCGCCTCTGGTGAAAGCTCATCCTCTGGCTCCGCCTCCGGCTCAAGCTCAATGAGCGGCGGAAGCTCCGGCAGCAGCGAAAGTGGTTCTGCCAGCGGGAGAAGCAGCGCCGGCGGAAGTTCCTCGGGTTCCGGCGACACGAAAATGCAAGGGTCAATGGACTACGAGAGCTCTGCAAAGAATTCGGAGAACAAATCTTCCTCAAGCTCTTCGTCGGAGATGAGGAACTCAGGCAAGTTCCGGTTCCATTCCAAGTAGGCATCACAGGTTTTAAATCTTATACAAATAGTAATGTAAAAAAAATCCATATTATATAAAGAATGACCAAAGAGTTAGATATATGAATATGAAATAATATCTCAATGAGCGGCCCTGCATGGTTGTAAGCAGCGAGCTGAAGCATTTTTTATAGTTATAAACTAATCGAATTTCACAATAAACGTAATTTATCTTTGTTTTTTGTTTTTTTATTATTATTATCAACTTTATTTTTGTTATTTAGTATGCCCTTTGTCTAAAATATCCAATTACCCAAAAAAACTTTATACTTGTTATCTCAAAAGTAGACCATAGACGATAGTGGAATATTTTCACCAAATCCACCAAGAAACGCTGCAGAAACATGAAACGATAATCTTGCATGGCCTGAAATCATTAAGCCATATTATATTATATATAATCCTTCAAATAAAAAAACAAAACACACATTTTATATTTATACGTTATTATATGAGGTTATAGCTTGGAGTTAACCTCTCAAGCCATGCAAATATGGCTTTGAGCGTACCATAATTGAAATATGTTCGCACCGGTGACTTTGAAATTATGGATCTGCTTTTCTTTTTTTTTTTTTTGTATTTGAAATCAAATCTAAATGTTTGATATTATTCTCTTTTCAAGTCACAAATTGTTCTATTTATATATGCATATGCTTATTTGATATTTTAATTAAACTCTAGCGCTATTAATAAATCGACCGAAATTCACCTGTTCATTGTATGAAATTGATTCTGCGTGAGTTTATTGTATTTAAATGATTCATATGGTTACCAATTAATCAAGTAGTAAATTACAATATTAAAACAAACAAAAAGGAAACGTATTTAACATAATCATATGGATTGGTCATTGAATTGTTATTTTGGGGTATAATTATTTATTTAGAATAATATATTATGTTGGCTTTGAAATTACAGATATGTTACGTTTATTTATTAAATTGCGTACAAACTTCAAAGTAATCAATAGACCACTTTTAATTTAAGACACTCTACAAGACTAACTCACTAATGTTTAATTAATACGCAACACTTAACCATAAAATGATAGTATTTCATCATTAAATAAAACAAATAAAATTCAAAAAATAGTGTAAACACTTATATTTTAACAAATTCTAACAATTAATAATAGAAAAATAAATATTGAATTCTCACAACAACAACAACAACAACAAACACTCACAAAATCAAAATAAAAAGAGAAAATCATATATAAATACATGAACTTTTACAAAATTCTAAAATAAATACCTACTATAAAATTTCCACATAAATACCTCAACTTTTTAAAATTTTCACAAGAATAACCAAACTTTTGAAAATCTTTCAAATAAAACAATATTTATTAACGGTGTTTAACGTATCTGAATATTAAGTCATCAATTTTTTATGGATTCAGTTATAAATAAGACATTGTTAATGGATTTTGGTTTCATTTGGTAGATTTTCAAAAAAAATTGGTATTTATGTAGAAGTTTTGAAAACTTCGGGTATTTATATGAGAGTTTTATAATTGAAATATTTATGTGGAAATTTTATAAAAATTCAGGTATTTATTTGTCATTTTCGTAAATAAAAATATTATATTGTGATAATCTTTATTTATTTTATTTTTAGGTAATTATCCAAATTTAAAATGGGTTATATCCAAAGACGAGATGTTTTTATGTCAGTAATAGAAGCCGAAGCTATTATACTGGAATATTCATGGAGTAGATCCAAAGAGGTTAATTGTCCATAAATCTTGATAAAGATAGAGATACCAAGACAGATGTGCAAATTGCATCAAGGGTTTCTGTTTAAATGTACAATTCTAAATTTCAAGTTGAAACGTATGCATCAATTTTTTCTTCATACACTTAATTTATTGCACACACAAGAAATTTCATCACCAATTATCAGATATATTAGAATCCTTCAATATTTTTTTTAAAAAATACTTATTCATTTTTTTAAAATTTATTTTTTAAAAAAATCTGTTTTATTTATTTGTTTAATTGAAAAATCGCTTATAAATCCTTGTATTTTTACAAAATTTTCATATAAATACTAGAATTGTAAAACTCTCACATAAATACTTGAAGTTTTTAAAACCTCCACATAAATACCAAAACTTTTGAATAAGTGTGGGTATTCTTGTGAAAATTTTAAAAAATTGAGGTATTTATATAGAAATTTTACAGTTGAGGTATTTATTTTGAAATTTTGTAAAAATTCATGTATTTATATATCATTTTCCCTCGGTTAATTAATTCATACGAGTTACATCTCTGGTTCTTGATAAGCAAATAGAGTGCTTGAGATGTTTTGTTTCTAGAGATGGAAAGAAAGCTAAAAAAGGAAATATAAAATTTAAAAAAAAAATACGAATTCAAAGGAGTTATAAATAAATATTCTTTCTAATTTAAGTATCTTAAATTTTATCCAATTAGGAGCGTGGATCGCGCGTCCTCTTGAGAACGATGACAATGCCATAGGCGGCTTCTCTCTCTCTAAAGAGAAAGGTGAAGATGACGACAATGACGATGATGACGCCCTTGTGATCTGCTTTGATAAGTTTGTTTTGCTCATTTCTTTCACTGATTCGTTTTTCAAATCTTGTCGGGAAAATTCAATTGCGGTCTTGTACACATTAGCCCAATTTTCCCGGAATCTTCGAGAGAAGAAAGTTCCAAAATTTCCCTCTCCATTTGTTCTACGGCTTGTCCCTGTTTCGCGGATTGAAACGGGCTTTAATCCGTTTTCTTTTTTTCCGCGTCTTTTTAGATGTTTATGGTTCTTTGAATGTTCATTGCGCATTACGATCTTTCTGTTTGTTTCCCAGGAAAAAGAAACAGAGGAGAAGGAAAAAAAACCCAGTAAAGGCCAAATGGGTTGTGCGAGCTCGAAGAAGCATAAATGTTGCCGCCATTGCCGGCGGGGATTATCTCCGGCGGTGGCGCCGAGAAGCTACTCGATGCATGTTCATCACCCGGGGGCTCACACCGGAGGCAGCTACGACATGGTGGCTCTCACTTCCTCCACCATTGGATCTCTCAAGCTCTGCGACACCACGTCTCTCGGACATAACAGCGAACACTTGGAAGACTTCACATCCAAGCTTCTTTCCAAAGACAACAATGGCGGCAACAAGCTTGTGGTTGGTGTTGGGTTTCATCGAGGCGAGGGAGGTGATGAAGTTGCAGAAACGAAGAGGGATAAGGTGAATTCGGCACTGCAGGCTAAGCTAGAGGAGGCGAAGGTCTGGTCAAGAATGATGAACCGGAAGATACCGAAAATCTTGCCGAAAACGCCCACCCTGACCCCTCCTGGTGAGCCCGAGACGATCAATACCTGGGAATTGATGGATGGCCTTGAAGATGTTAGCCCTTTACGAGAACACAAGACTGTTGAGCCATTGATGTTTCAGATGGAGGAAGATGAACTTGACTGCAGCGTCTTAGATTTCGACCCAGAAATCATCTCCTGCTTCAGGAAATCACTCCAAGAACTCCCACCCGACCATCCTTTTCACATCCGAATTCCCGACATGGGAGAGAATCCAAACGTTGGCGAACATGAGGAGGGAGAAAAGCCGGGCAAAGACAAGGTGATTCTCTACTTCACAACCCTAAGAGGGATTAGGAAGACGTACGAAGACTGCTGCCATGTCCGCGTAATACTGAAAGGACTAGGTATTCGAGTAGACGAACGAGATGTGTCGATGCATTCGGGGTTCAAGGAAGAGATGAAGGAGCTTTTGGGGGATGAATTCGACAACAATGGTGCCGGAATAAGGCTGCCGAGGGTTTTCTTGGGGAAGAAGTATCTCGGGGGAGCAGAGGGGATAAGGAAACTGAACGAGGACGGGAAGCTGGAGAAGCTTCTAGAAGGCTGCGAAAGGGTTGAAGACGACAATGGAGGGTATGAATGTGAAGCTTGTGGAGATCTCCGGTTTCTGCCATGTGATAAATGCTCGGGCAGTCGCAAAGTTTACTACGAATGTGAAGAAGAAGAAGAAGAGTTTGGATTCCAGAGATGTCTTGATTGTAATGAGAATGGACTCATCAGATGTCCTGTATGTTTGTGATTTGTCCTTTGTGACTTGCCAAAGAAGCAAAGACCATATAAGGCTTTTATTCTTCCGA